GTATGACCTGGTTTCTTACAATACTTGCTAACAGGTGATTTCTGAGCATCAAAATTGACTTTGGAGGGAAACCCTTGTTTGGACACCCCAACATTGAAAGAAGCAGATGTAGGGAGAAACTGAGGAGAGGTAGAAACCTGCCTCTGCTTCTCGTCTGACAACAAGATACTGTAGACAGTGCTCACAGAAGGGAATGATTTAATCATAAAGATGTTACTCCTAGTTGTGAACAACTAATTTTTGACCACACTCTAATTATATATTATTTTAGTGTAAATATTTTTTTTAGGTCTAATCTTGATGTTTTAATATTTTATCTTACTCTTAATAGATTTTATTCGATTTAATTTTTAAAAAAAATACTCACATTCTTAAAGTATAGATTTTATTTTTCTATTTACAAAAAAAAATATTCACAAATATATGTGTACATATATATATATATATATATGGGGTATCTTTTAGTTAGAATTGTAATAAGTAAACTATTATATCTTCTTTGTATAATTTAAACTATAGTGTAAATATTGGATTTTTTTATTTATATAGTTTCTTTATGTCTAAAAGTAAGTCGGTTAATATATTTATATATAAATGGGTTACAAAAAGTTTTTTTTTTTTAAAAAAAAAAACCTAACTAACGAAAACATAAAATCTAATCTGCATCAATTCCCAACTTCCCCACTTCCCCACTTCCCCACTTCACTAACGCCTCACCCCCACTCCCTCACATTTCTATATGCACATACACACAATGTCAATCACGTTCTCCCATTTCAAATGGGGGGAACAAAAACTATATATGATTCCCTATAAAGAAAAACGTAAAGGGAGCAAAAAAAGAAAAAATCAAGGGAGAAGGAAAAAATCTGATTATAAAATTTTTTCAGCAACTAAGAGAAAAGACTATTCTCTTATAGTAAAAAAAATTCACTCAGAAAGAAAAGTTTGGCTCAGTTATTGAACCTAAAGATGTAGTTCGAGATTTCGTTCGCGGTTCAGAATTCGAGGTTCTAAAAAGTTAGCATTGCTAGCTTTGGAAATCAGTAGATCGCGTTGTGATTTTATTGTAAAAAGCTTCACAAAAAAGGTAATATTCAAATTTTCATCATCAACATGAAAGTTGTTGGTTCTGATTAATTTTGGCTTCATCGTTTGATTTCCATTTTCTGTATCTTTGAGTTGTTTTGAGTTTTTTTTTTCGAACTAGAGTGAATTGAATATTTGTTTGGGTGTCGGTTCAATATAAATTTGATTACCAAACTTTTACTCATGGCCTAAAATAATATTTTCATTGATAGTTAAGTTTAGATATTTCAGGAATCATGTTATTAATTAATAATCATCTTTCGAAGTTTTTTTTATTTTTAATATCATTCTTGCCGATCTTATTTATCTCTTATGATGACATTACAAAATATTTAATTTTTCAATTAAGTGTGTTTATATGTGTATAGAGGAATTAATGTGGTGAACATTAAAAATAATTCCCATGTTGATAGTTTATAATTAGGTCTGTATATAAAGAATATGTTGTGAATGTGTTATTAACTTTGTGAATATATGAAAAAGTCAACCCAAGAAAAAACCAAAGCCTCAGACATAAAGACAGAACTCACTTGTGCAAACAGACTCATAAAGTTTAACATTACTAATACCATATGAACTTTATGACTATCTCGTTTAAAAATTCAAATTCGTACTTTATTCCTTCCTAATTAAAACCAAGTGAAGTAACCAGAACAAAAGACTTACCAAAAGTTGAAGTGGGTTGGATAGAAATGTCGTGCCAATTAGAAATAGTTGAGGCTCAAAGTGTGATGACTGCTTCCCTACCATTAATGTTGTCACATTCTTTTTTTTTTTTTTGAACTAGCATACCTCCTAGACGTAATTCCAATTTTGTGAATACTATTTAGTTTAACTTTATGATGCATTTTATTTTTCATACGTACAAAAAGTTCATTACATTACATTATGTTTAAGGTCATGGATGCAATAGTCAATTATTTAGACTCTCGAACTTCATTTCTATATAGTTAGGACAAATGGAGTTTCTAAAAGGTTCTCCTTTAAATGTATCTATCCATTCATTCGTCTATCACTGAAATTTAATAGTTCTTTTGTTATGTTGTGTAATTTGTGTCGCGCGAAACAGGTTCGGAAATAATTTAATAATTTTGGTTTAGATAGAAGATTAAGTTTGCCAATTTACAAGATTTTTTTGTGAAGTACATATAGGGTTTACGAATTAGCTATTTCAAAGAATAAATAATTGGAGTGGTAAAAATATTTATAAGGTAGCGAGGTGAATCATGAATTAATTTAAGACTTGTTGTAATAAGTAATAATAATAAAATTATACAAATAAATATCTCGAATCTGAAAGAGACAAAACAAATGAAATACTCTAAAACACTAGAAAAACTTTAGATGTACTTTAAATATTAACCCATGTGTTCATACCCGAACCTTGGATTGATATGCTTAAATAATAAAAGGATCATGTGCGCATTCCGTGCCTTGATACCTTTAAATTTAAAATAATTATGTTATAACCACGTGTACATTCTGTACCTTGGTTTAACATTTAATTTTAAAGAAGTACCTTGTGTGTGTACCGCATATTAGTGAACACAATTAATAAAATATAATAATTAATTAAGTGATAATAGGCAAACTATAACCAGTACAATACAAGAATAGCCAAAAATTAATTTAAGCCGGACATAAGTCAATAAAAGCGACCGCGCTAGAACCACGGGACTCGAGGGGTGCCTCACACCTTTCTCTCGGTCAACAGAATTCCTTACTCAGTCTTCTATTTTTGTAGACCATAAATAAGGAGTCAAATCTTCCGTTTGATGAGGGATTCAAATAAAAGGTGACTTGGAACACCAAAACTCAATTCTAAGTGGCGACTCCAAATAATAAATAATCCCTTTTCAAATCATCACTTTAATTGGAAAAACTCTTCTAACCCAACCTCGTAATAAGGGTTGCGTGGGAAAAAAGAGGTGTGACACTAGTTTGCACATATGTATCATTGAGACCCATCAAAAATTAATACACATTTTGGACATCATCATCCTTCTGATAATCAGATTTAAAATCACAGTTGCTGCAAGACCTGACTCTACTAATTGACAAAGCATCAATTTCATCCCATAATTGCTTTATCTTATTGAAATAGGACGCTATATCAAGAGAGCCTTGAGAGATGTGAGCTAATTCCTTTTTAAGCTCAAATACTCTTGCAGCATCAGCCTGACCATATCTTTCCTCCAACTCACTCCAAATATTTTTGGCAAGTTCGGAGTACTCAACACTACGAGCAATGTCTTTGGACAAAGAGTTGGTTAACCATGATACGACTAAATCGTTATACCTCTGCCACTGTCTCGTCAAGGAAGAACTGTCAGGCGGGTTCATTGAGGATCCATTTATGAAATCCAATTTATTTCTAACAGACAAAGCTACAAGAATAGTTCGTCTCTAACTCCCATACCAGTGCCATCAAAAGGCACAGAAACTAGTGAAGACCCCAACACGTTAGATGGATGCACATAGAAGGGATGACATGGGTGAGTATAGTCGTCCTCATGAAACACAGAACGAGAAGAAGTAGAGCGACCAGTAAGCAACTCAGACGGAGAACTATTGTCATTTGTCATTTTTATACACAATCAACAGAAAATCTACACATGCAATAAAGAGAAAGTGATTAGGGTTACCAATTTCCTTTGCAACCGGAAGGAACAACGGCCTTCTATAGAGAAACGAAGACGAAACCACGTCAAAACCTTAGCTGAAGCGTACCGGTGCAGAAATTTTCAAATCCTAGGTTGAGAAATCTTACTCTGAAATTTCGATTCACTTCGGTCGAAGAACAACACGAACAATCTCTACCAAAAACAAACACGCGAATTTAAGCGTTATCACCGGAGAAAATCAAACGGGAAATTTCAAAAGAAGGCAGATCGCCGCGGAAGAGCAAAACTCCGGCGAAAATGTTCGAGGGTAACATCAGTCGACTTGTAATCACCCGATCTAGCTAGATCTGGGCTCTGATACCATGATAAAGTTTGAATTCGAAGTAAATCTACAAGGAACTATCTAGGATTGGAGATATACGGAGGGAAAGAGAAAGGAAGCTTCTAGCTTCTGTCTTTTGGAAAAATGCTCAACTAACTGAAAAAAATATTCAATTACACATACCATATATGGGCCAAAAACTAAAACCGACCCAATGACTGAAATAAACGTTCATAAATACAGTTGTGGGCTTCTGGGCCCAATACAAAAGAAATAAAGGAAAAGAAAGAATGGCCCAACTAAGTAACATTTTCCTTATACAACTTAACATGGTTAGAAACAGGATGGTCCGGAAGCGAACTAGGATTCCTGCACCCTTCACTTTTGGTGAGCCCGTTTTGAGATCGTGGGATCACGTTGTGCTCTAGTTTTTATTATCTATTCATTTATAGCGTCCTAGAGGCTCCATAGATGAGCTGTGTTATAATTTTGGGTTGTGGGTTCTCAGATGGCTTCACGAATGACATTCTTAATTATGTCTTGGATTATGTTTCGATACTCTAAATCAAATGAAGAACACCTCACTTGTATCATTTAATATTGTCACTAACTAAATGAATTGAAATATATGAGAACAAATTGGGTTTGCTTTATACTTTAATGGTTCACTCGGTGCAAGTTGGTAGTACTAGGTGCCAGCCATGTAACAATCCATTTTGGAGCGTGACAATAACCTCCAATACGATAAATAGAACAAACCCATATTGAGAACCACCAACACTGTGGTCTTAATTGTACAACTTTGGTGTGATATCTTTGAACAGTGGATTCACGTAGAGCATTTAGCCACCATATGAACATGGACCATGGCATTATAGGATGGATTATCAAAGTCTCCTTTAGCTGGACAGGTTCAAAAAAAAAGTCAAGCGGGAAGGGGTGCCTCGTAAAAACCAAGAACCAACTTCAGGAAACTATAATCTAATGATAAAATTATAAGTAATCAAAATTCCAAGATAGTGAGCAAAATAAGTACTAACTAATTTTCACACACTCACTTTCCTTTGTCCTATCTTGTGTGTATTAATTTGCTGACTGTTTCTACTGTCCCATCCATCTACATTATCGTCAACATCCACGAGAATAACACCATCAGTATCATCATCATACATTCCCATATCAATGTCATCCTCACCCTCCAAATCGTCTTCCTCATAGTCATCAAAATCATCCATGTCCTCTTCATTTTCATCATCCATACCAGCACGCAAGGTATGGAGCTCAGGAGGAGGAGGACAATCCTCGGTTTCTGCCTTGTCCTGCTTCATCACTAGATGTCGTATGACTCTCTCATCTTTGTCAAGCATGCTCTTGAAATCGTTAATCCATTTGGCTTCCAACTCAAAATTCATCAAAATGTAATGAGCTCGTGATGCTTTCTGAATCTTGTATGCCAGTCTACGCATACCCCAGTCACTGAATCTCCACAACTTTCCTTTCTTCTCTTTCAAAAATTCTGCATGTTTATAAAAATGTCAGAAGTTTCAGGTTATTTTAGTCACCACGTAGAAAACAGAAATGTAAATCACAGGGAAAAAGTGATGATGTTTAGGAAACTAAAAGCTATCATTTTTTAGAGAATAGGGGATCAAGAGAGCAGAACTGTGGTTGTTGCATCATGTGGTAGATTGGAACCACTTCTGAAATACTAGCTTTTGACATGATTTCCACCATTCTCATCTCTTTCCAAAAGGGAATGAAGTGTTATATAAGTTTAACAAAAGAACTTGGTAAACACACTATCACATTTGACAACACACAGCAAAAACCGAACTTTTGTAGAACAAATAGATGGTTGATATATGAAAAAGGGACGGCTAACCTTGAATTTTCGTGTTCACACTCTCGACCTCGTCTGCACGATCCTCATGAATCAGAAATACCACTTCATAGTGTCTCACTGCACACAGGGAAGTCAATAGATCATTTCAACTATAAATTGATAGGAAAAGAATGGAGACATAACAATAGATTTCAAGCTAATTTTGCTGCACTCTTTCAATTCCATTTAGTGAGTTAATCAACATGTACAAGCAATATTAGCAAGAATTCATGAGACCTGGCAAGCTACTTTAATCTGATACAATCTTATATTTTAGCTTCCAACGACCAAGAATCTGGTGTCAACTTCTCAACTATAAAGAGGGTGGTCTATAATCTTACAGGTGAGTCTTCAAGAAAAGTAGGCGACAGATTCCCGAAGCTCATTCATAGATAGGTGGAACTTGGAAGAAACAAAACATTAAATACCTGAGCCAATAACAGATTCTAGCCATTGGCAGCTCAGCACTCCTTAGCTCAGTTGAACAAAACACAATCTAAAGCATCTCCTTCTACTTGCACTAACAAGCAACACAGATATTATTGTGCAGATGACATGTTGCACAGAATCCAAAATGCTAATTCACAACACATTTCCCATCCACTGAGTAATCTATGAGTATTCCACCTTTCGTCCTATATTCTATCAATCAATCAAATAAGTCTCAAATTCAGAAGTAATTGGAATTAGTGGTATGAATCATCTATATATACTTCGTAATATTTGGACAGTTTCATAAAGATACTGGTCACCAAAAGTAGAAGGTTCTCCAAACTCACACTTACCTCTGCCCAAACCTAATCTAATTGTAACCATAACACATTTCCCAACAATGAATCACAACTATTTGGTATCCCTTATATGGATTCTTTGCTTCCACCATCCTTCCTAGAAGAAGAAATGCAGAAAGAAAAGAAGACAACATATCCAGCTACTATCTATAAGTTTAAGCATTTTTCTATTTTAGATATGAAGCTCATACTTACTCTGTTCCACATTCAGATCACTCTCCAGCTGCAGATTTAGAGCCTCAAAAAGTTCCTCTGCAAATTAGACCCAAAGTTTAGTGACGTCAGCCTCTAAAGAATGAAAAGTATTCACATAATAAGATATCAATGGGCAACGTGTCATTCGTAACCAAATAATGACTTACTCTCTTCAGCATCTGCAAACTCAGGTAGAAGTCTACCGTCTTCTTGGACCTTCCTCTGCAAAATTTTAAAAGTGCATTTTCAAAGTGAAAGGGTTCAAATCAAATCAAAACTCATATACATAAGCAAAAGAAAATTGGACTTATGTCCTGCCCTTAACCGCCAACTAGTCCACTGGTGTACCCACTAAGATTATCATTATTGTTTTCTTTTCAAATTTTTTAAGGAAATCGTAATATGTTTGAAAGCGTTCTCAATTCGTTTTCCTCTGAAAAATTGAATAAATTGCAATATTCAAAGGGTTCAAATTACATAAAAATTCATACATATAAGCAAGAAAAATTTAAACATGTGCAACCATTACCACAAACTAGTCCACTGCTGTAACCCCAATAAAAAGTCAATCTTTTCCATATTTTTATTCTTTTTTCTCAATCTTTTTAAGGAAATAAGTAACAATTTTGAAATGGGCGAGGCTCAAAGATTGTTCAGAATTCCGGACAAACAAACCAAAATTACATATGGGTGTAAATTAAAACTATAATTAATATACAAAATTTGCTCAAGCAAGAATGTTTTTTTTTAAAAATTCTAA